ACTGCTGAATTTTCAAAATTAGTCCTTTGAAAAAGGAAAGTAAAGTCGCAACTGCCCATTAAAATGCCAATAATAAGGCTGTTGAGATAATATTCCGAAAAATGGATGAAGCAGCTTCCTGCAGCTGGACCTACCATGTTAAACTGTTCCCAGGCTTGAACTAGTTGGATCGAAGGGTCTGTTTCCATGCTGTATGACTTCAGCATATATGGAATGAACTGCCAGAGGAAATGGTAGAAACACAAAAAATGGTTGGAGTAGGCCACCACCATTCAATATGATCAAGGTTGATTATACAATTTCAGAATCCCACTGCTGCTTTCTCTCAATACCCCTTGTTCCATTTAGCCGCAAGGGCCACATTCAGTTCCCTCTTGAACATCTCTAATGAACTGGTCCCAACAGCTTTCTGCGGTAGAGAATTCCACAGGTTCACAACTCAGTGAAAAAATTCTTCTTCATCTCAGTTCTAAGTGGCTTATACTTTATTCTTAGACTGTGACACCTAGTTCTAAATTTCCCCAACATCGGGAACATTCTTCACACATATAGCCTGTCCAGGCCCATCAGGATTTTACAGATTTGTAAGAAATCCCCGCTCATTCTTCTAAATTCCAGTGAGTACAAGTCCAATTGATCCAGTCTTTCTTCATGTCTCACTCCTGCCATCCCAGGAAACAGTCTGGTGAACTTTCACTGGACTCCTTCAATAGCAAGAATGTCCTTCCTCAGCAACACTGCAGCAGCCAGTCATACAGCATGGAAATGGACCGTTCGGTCTAACTTGGCTGCGCCGACCGGGTTTTCCAAACTAAACTAGTCCCATTTGCCTGTCCTTCCACAGACTAGGAGACCACAACTGCACAATGCTCAAGGTGTGGCCTCACCAAGCCACAACTGCAACAAGACTTCCTACTCCTATATTCAAATCCTCTCGTTCACTCATAGAGGCAAGTTCACTTACAACATTTAAAAGATATTTGAACAGGTATATGAATAGGAGAGGTTTAAAGAGATATAGGCCAAGCTCAGGCAATTGGGACTAGTTTAGTTTGGAAAACCTGGTCGGCACAGACGAGTTGGACCGAAGGGTCCATTTCCGTGCTGTATGAGTCTATAACTGGCTGCTGCAATATTGCTGAGTCAGAGCTGAGGGAACAATTTCTCACTGTTTGGAAGCACCATGTCCATCTTTGTTCCTTTTCATAATAAAATAAAGTCATCATAGCCCCAGCGGACCATAATGCTGCTCTCTCGTTAGAGCTGGTGGTTTAACCTTAGGGTCACCATGCCTCAGCAATACAGGAACTGCACCTGAACTGTTAGCACCACTCAGATTGCAAACTAGTCACTCAGTCATCTGGGTTAAAACTCACTGGTTATCTAAGCTCATTGGTAATGCACCATGCCTTACTTTGAAATAATTCAACTTTTTGTTTTATATTTATTTGAGTACCACTGACAGTGTCGCATTTATTGCCCATCCCAGGTAAACCTATGTGATCTGCTGGACCACTTCTGAGGGCACCAACAAGTCAACAATATTTCCCATTAATAAAAAACAACATTTAGCCTTTATTTTTCAGGCAGTTTAAACTCCATGACAAGTTACTGAAGACTTTCATTTACTGCTCACCACAAGTTAAAAACAAGTTCAAAATTCAAAAACTGGAAATGTTTACAATTATTTCCTATGCTATCTCTGAACAATTTAACTGAGCAGGTAAAAATCACGTTTTCCATATTAATTCACATTAATTGCAACCTTATCACTTAGTATCAAAAACTGCACGAAACCAATTCATTAACTCTGTCAAATCACTTCTCTGACATTACGAATCAAAAGTGCAGAAAACCATATAATTAAGCTCGCAATTAGGGCTAGGGGTATAAATGGCAAGTACAGTTGGTAGCAGTAAAAGTACTTTGCATTACAGTGAAGTAAGCAGGGTTTTCACTGTTTATGCTTGGAGTAACAATTTATTAACTATAAATAAGGTGATTAAATTAATTCCAATAAGGAGGCACGAGATAGTGCAGAGGTGGGAGTTGTCATCAGGTGGAGGAATTTTTGATGGACTCTAGATGGAATGGGCTTGATGGTTTGAGTATATGAATGCCTTTTTGCCACTCAGCACTCCATACAACTACTCAAAGAAAAATTCCTGGCCAAGAGTCAATTCAAGAACTGTTCAGACTAACACCCTCACGTGACTTAGCATTTTGGCTCCCCTTTGCTCTTGACTCCAAGATTGATCAGAATTTACAAGTGAAACGTCATCTCCATCACCACAGACAACAAAAGAATGTAAAATCAAGGAGAGACCATTTAGAGATTACGAGAATTTGCCTTTCCTCCAGCCCAAGCTACAAAAGGATCTTTCAATCCTATCACTGATTTGCAAATAAAAATCCATATAAGATATAAACTCTGCTGTGGCAAAATGATCTATAGAGAATGCCCAGGCTCTTGTCAGACACCATTAGCTGTTATATCCTTAAGGTTCCATCACATCCATACCACGCACGTGCTTAACAATCGCTGGCAAACATCAGCAGTTATATGCAAAGAATAAAGTCCAGTTCCCAATAAAGCAGTATCTTTTGATCCTTTCCAGAAATACGAGTGATGCTGACGATCCCAGCGTTTGCTGCCCATCCATAACTGTCTTTGAAGTGACTAACTTAGCAAGTCATTTCAGAAGACAGCTAGGAGTCAACTACATTGCTGTTGGTCTGGAGTCACACGTAGGTCAGTACAAGTAGAGATAGCAGATTTACTTCCCTAAAGAGCCAAATGGGTTTCTATAAGAACCTTTGTTAGTTTTGTGATTTCCCAATTAAGCAAGAAAATATACTGTTTGTAATAAATTATATTGGACATGAGATAATGGTGGCAATTCCACTGATTTCTCACAGGATTACCTGAACTTAATGTCTTGTATCTCGAGGAGGCACTGTCCTCATGTAGTTCACCCACTTGCCAATGTGGTTTACGAACAGATAATCACTGATTTTCTAAAACTGCAGCACATTCATGGAGTTGCTCTTCCAAAAACAAAAATTATACTTCCAGAAAAATACTTACCTTGTAAGATGTCTGCATTTTAAATAATGCAGAAGTGGAAATAAGCAATCATAGTTTTAGTTCTATTGCATCTTATCAATCGCAAAGAGGCACACAAGGCCTAGAGTCTCATGTTACACAGATCAATCAATCAATCAACCAACAAGTGTTACAGTGTCAATGTACAGAAATCTAAGGATTTCACCAAGGTCCAGTATCAAATGCAGATCTTTATCAAAAACATAAAAAGGTAACATGCTCACCAGCTGATGCACCTTCCACCTAGTTTTGTCAACTTCACTTTTTATGTTACCTGCCCCACCCAACTTCCACTAATTTTATCATTATCTTTACTCATCCATGCACAGCAAAATGCAAATATCTCTCTTCAAAATTGTACCAAGTGCAAAAAGTGCTACAGAGCTGGGTTCACAAAGTGACTGAACATGCTGGGCAAGTGGAAATCCTGGCAGTTAAAATATTCTTTCCCCCTCTCCCTGCTGAGTTTCTCTGAGAAATATGACAACAATGCTGTTGTGTGTGGATAAAGATCAAGGAAACATCACATATTAATATCCCTTCCACCACTCCACGTTCCACAACCTGAGTTTTCACGTCATTGTAAACAAAAACTCAGCATTGCCCAATAAATCCAAAGCCATTTCAACATCATTGTCTGCCTCTACAACAAATATTGATATACTCCCAGGGAAAACAATAAACTGAAATACATCCATAACTAACACACATTGTACAAGTTGAAAACTAGAAAGTAACAACGAAAGCTAGGAACATTCAGCAAGTCAGTCAGCATATGGAGATCAAAAAAGGTAGCACTTCAGGTGTAGGATCTTCAGCAAACATTACCTCATTTGTTTTTGCCCCACATGCTGATTAGCCCAGTGAGTGCTTACAGTACTGTTTGACACTTGTAGGATTTGCAGTTTATTTTTGTTATTCCTTCCCATCTCTAACCATCCAGCAAAGCAGAAACATCTCACATGCAGCATTGCAACTGAAGTCATTTCAATATATACAGAAATAAGACAATAAAAAGGAGTGACAAATGATCATCTCCCAGATTTCTTAGTCTGGAACTATATCTGACAGCGTGATCTGTGCACAAGTGTAATTGTATACAAGTTGTCTATCAGTTATTTCTATCCACTTGGATACCAATGTCAACACACCTGGTTTGTATGTCAGAGACAACAAGGTGCAGGGCTGGATGAACACAGCAGGCCAAGCAGCATCATAGGAGCAGAGAGGCTGACGTTTCGGGCCTAGACCCTTCATCACCTTTTCTTGTTGTCTCGGATTCTCCAGCATCTGCAGTTCCTACTATCTCTGGTTTGTATGTCAGACAGTCAGTGTTCACTTATTATACATGGGTGTATCAGTACTGTTCTACGTCATCATGGCAAGCTATAAGCTTGCACACCAGCATGTGTTTTTGTACACTGGTGGTCAGTATATGATTTTACATATTGGCGTGCCAGCACATTTTTGTACACTGGGACGTCAGGGCCAGGGCAGAGGTGGGGGCTCTAGGTGGGATGCTCTTCAGAGGGTCAGTACGGTTTCAAGGGGACAAATAGCCTGCTTTCACCCTAGAGGAATTCTATGGATTCTACAGCATGTTTTTGTACATAATCACAACCTGAAGCGCCAA